ATAAATTAAGATAACAGAGAAAAAAGATGAAACGGTGGTAAGTATTAGCTTTCAAGCAAGACTAAATAAAGGAAAAGATAAGTACAATTTTTCGTGAATATAAGTGAAGTATAATATATTTTAAAAGAATATTGCTTAACAAAAAGAGTTAGTTATTTGTTTATCTCTCAATAATAATTATTATAAAGTAGAGAAGGATGGTTGGGGTGATCAGTCAGAAATAAAAATTGCAAAAATAATAATAATATTTATTTTAACTATGTTTACTTCATTAATCCACACTTTGTAACCGTTATTATTATGTATTTCTTAGTTCTTGTTATTGTCATTATTCTACCTACTTCATTTTACATTAATGTTCACTTATCTACTTCATTTTATTTTAAGTTTTTTTTTTACCTACATTGTTTATGTTTCTCATACCTTGTTATCTGGTTCTTTTCTTAGCCCTGATGAAGGCCTGAACTTCAGGTCGAAACGTCGGCAAATGTTAAAACAAATATTATTATTATTTATTTTTGCCATTTTTATTTCTGGCGGATCATCCTTCTCTTCTTTATTCACGATAGTCAACCATCAATCCACAATTAATAATTATTATAAAATGTTTTGCCAAATAAATGAGAGTTATTATATGAAATAATAAATATAAATTATAAATATTATGATTTTTGTCTCCAATTAAAAATAATATTTGATGAAAGAGATGGTCCGGGTTGGTGGTCATAAAAAATATTAAATTGTAAAAAAACTTGTTATTATTAATTATCTTCTTAAAAAACTATTTTTAAATTACATTAGTAATTAATTTACTACATTTATTACTTTTTATTATATTGTTTCATTTAAAAACAAGCCCCTCTCTGACTATGTTTACCTACCAAATGTGTTAGTATTTGAATATCTTCAGTGCTCGATTTTTTATAAATGAATTATATTCATTATTTTTAGTTTATATAATTTTCTATATATTTCATTTGTAATATTTGTATTGTAATATTAGTTGAGATTTATGTACCATCAAACACTATAATGTTTCATTATTAGTCGTATAATATTATATCTCTGATTGTATTTAAAAAAATTTCAGCCCTGATGATGATCCACATGTTTGGGTTGAAACTTCAGCACTAATAAAATAATAATGACTGCGTCCTGATTATTAATCACTCGTGATATGTAAAACAGTCGACTAACTTCCTTCAATAATTCTTTAAAAACTATTTTATTATTTATTGTTATTTTGGTTTTCACAATTTTTTTTTTTACCATCTCTTTCCTTAAAATTATATTACGGTCAACCATTGAGTATCATAAGAGAATTCTTATATTCAATCAGTGTTTTAAACTATTGGCCATTTACGTACCATAAACCAACTAAACATATATTTCTGTCTAATTGATTTAACCTACCATTTATACTCTTGAAATGCTCAAAGCCTCAAATAAATTCATTCAACTCTATTAAGACAAATAAGTCTGAATGTCAATAAGTAAAACAGATAAGTCATTTAATATGGAGGAAAAAAAGTGAAACAAAGAGTTTCTTCATCATCTCTAATAACTTTAGCTCTGTTGTGTTGAAAGTGAAAGTACTAAAAAAAAAAAAAAAAAAATTTGTTGCGGAATACTTATATAAAAATAAAACAAGATTGAAATAATTCAAATTTTTAGACGATATTGCCTTTAATTACTGGTTCGGCTCAAGAATTTACTGAGTGAAAAATATGAGGTGAATTTCTCGAAAAATCGAATAAATGAATATAAAGACAATATAAACATAACATGAATAAATATAATTAATTAATTTGTAATATATATTATCATAACGAATCATTTACGGATCCCCACTAAGACATAATCGTATAATGAAACAATTGCGACTTGATTCAGTATACATTGCCCTAGCAAGATTCTTAACAGGAGGGCCTAGGAAGATTTCTATAGGCGTAGAACAGTTTCCTGAAACACCTAAAAGCTTTCTATTTTGAACCCTTGTACCAAGTTTCACCTATGGAACCCAAACGTCGCCTAGCAAAGAGGTACATAAAGTTTCTTCAATTTACTAAACAAAAGTGGAGTGAAGCAAACCAGAAATAAAATAATAAATGAGGAGATGAGACTAAATGAAAGGACGTACTAGAAGTTATTTAAAAAATGTTTTGGAATCGTTGCACTCAACATTATGAGCTATGCCATGCATTTGTGTAGCATTATTATAAGTTGAAAATTTATTCAAAATATTTCCTTAATGCTGAAATTTTTTAATATGAATTAAAACATTAACAAAATGAACAGAAACAGTATAACATAAAAGGTGAATTCATTAACTGTTTATGTTGTTAATTCAGTTAAACAATTATATATACCGTTATTTTCAATTTATTTACTGTAATTAGTTTTTGGTTTTTTAAAATTAAAATAAACTGAACTCGTCATAAATATGTTTTTTGAAAATTCTATAAAATATATTTATATGTATACCGTAGTAAATAATTGTTTTTAAAAATAATAAATATCTCCCTGGATTAATTTTTATTTTATTCATTTGTAATGATTATACTATTTCATTATTTATTTCATATACATAATACGTTATACAATTTTATTTTATTTACCAAATCTGCAAGAGCTCTGGAAATTTCTCTGCTAGTTTTAAAACGATATTCTAAAAACAATCGCACCATTAAGCGGTAAAATTGTTCGTTTATTTTTTTCTTCTTCCGGTTTCTTTCTTTCGCTCCATGGTACTTTTTACTTTCATTTACCTATATATGTAATATACAGTAAGGGTAAGTATTGCGATCGTGAAAATTTTTGAACCTGAGTTTTCAATGGAAATACACGTTTTGAGGTTCCCTGAGTCCAAATAACCAATTCCCGCAAAATGGTCTGTGTGTGTGTTAACAGTCTAGCTCAAAAACGAAAAATCGAACGGAAGTGAAATTGCATATTTATGGTTTTTATATGCTAGGGATGTTACAGCAACTTTTTCGTCAAAATCGGTTAACCGGAAGTGGCACTTTATATCATGGACTAAACATAAATCCTATTTTTCCGATTATCTCGAAAACAGCTCTAACGATTTTGATTAAATTCATCATATCAGTGTAAAATTAAGCAGTTTTAAATAAAATGTGGTTATTATTCTAATTAATGTTCTCTAACTTGTTAAATGGCTAATTTTGAATATTAGCTTCCTCTAAAGTACCTTTAATTTAACATTTCACATTAATTTCTAATACGAAGAATGGTTAAATATAAAATGTGAAAAAGTTGATAAATAACTAAAGAAAAAATAAGAGATCGTAACGGAGAATAGTTGTAATTGAGGAACCAAAGAAATACGAGCAAACTCAAGCTCGCTCGAAAGAATAGAACACTCTTCCATACGTATCACGAGATTAATATAATACGGATTCCTACAATATTATGTAAATATACATATGCAGTTTTCATAAATGCTATTGTTGGTATTATTTAATATTTAATTGTATAGATTACAATATTATAAATATTAAAATTTGTATATATGAGGGTAGGTATACAAATAACAATACCCATAATGAAATATAAATAAATAAAGATTCTATAATTTTTACTTTCACTTCGCTTTGTCTGAAAATAATTATTTCTGCTAAGAAGAGGGTGGTAAGTGAAAGTTTTGTGATGCGCGCACCGCACCAGATTGTCAAAACTATGACTGCCGTTGATTGGTGGTACCCTGTCCACGTTTTTATTTCCTGCGAAAATTCCTTTAGTTCATGTAACGTCACAATTTTAATATTTTCTGACAAGAACTGTTTTTGAAACAGGTCATAACTACAGCTTCTTTCCTGGCATCAGTTAAAAATGAACTGAGAAACATTGTTAAAGTTTTTTTTTTACCTAAATAAATAAACAAAAATAAAAACATTCCATTTTTTTGTTATCCACATAAGAATAAAAATAAAATAGGTGATGAATCTGTATGACCGCGACTGTTACTTCTCTTTATGTACACAATTTATTGTTATTTTATTTTTTTATTACATTTAGTAACCTATTTATTATTTTTTTACAGGTAAGGAAGCATTCTGCTGCTAAACTACTACCATGATGTAGTAAGTCCATTTAATTTTTTTTGTAAATATCATTCTTCATACCATGAAAAGTTCGACTCTTCGTAGTTCGAAATGTTTTGGAAAACCTTTATATGTATATTACCAAAAGTAAAATGAGAGATAACTAAAAAAAAAAATAATGACAGTTAAACGATGTAAAGCACACTGCTTTGCTCAAAATAAATAATTTACCGAAAAATAATTTGTTTGTTTTTAAAGTGTAGTGAGTATGATAATTATTTATCATAACGAAACTATGTATTTTTATTTACTGATATATTCACTTTTTTGTTTAATTAATATTATTAATTAATAATTAATTTAAAACTGTCATAAGTTTGTGTTGAATGACTATTAAGTTAATAGTAAGATTGGCTTATAAATTTATATTTATGCTATAATTTAAAAAAAAAGGATAGAGTAAGGTGAATAAAAAAAAATACAAGTATTATAAACACTCTTGTATAAATACTACAAATATATAAACACACTCAATTATAATTAATAGCTAATTTGAACTGCTATTTTCAGGGCCGCAATATATTTATTTATCTGCCCTGGTTTACTTTTTTTTTTTAATTTACATGCTTTCGAAGAAATGTTTTACTTACAATAAATGTTTTAATAATAAAATTATTTAAAAAAAAAAGAACTGAATCTTCATATATGCACAACTATTGCATGAATAAGTACATTGGAGGACAAAGACTAGATTCTATACTTATTGCCTACCTACGACATGACAATAGTTTCTATTATACACAATGATAAATTAACTACATTGAAGGAGTTATCAGATGAGAACTGATGATTCAATAACATCATAAAAAAAAGTGTATCATTACCACATAAAGTATGTTATTCCTAATGTTAAATGATTTATATTGTATAATTTTAGAATTTGTTGTAATTTCAAAATCCAAACCTCCTTATAAAATTATATTTTCATATTACTTGGCTGATAATACTAAGCATGACTTCCTTTTAATAATTGACTAATTTTTTTTTCAAATTGTTTCAACTTGCCAGCGCTTAGATTGTATATTTAAAATTGATTTTATTGAGTTTGGCCACCAGACTCCTTCATCGATACTATGTCATTTGGTAATGAAAACGTGCATAACGAATATCGCCAGTGTATTGACTTTAGTTTTATAGATTTATAGATTCATGTTTTTATATAAATACATGAACGAATAGTTATTTTTCATTGATTCATCCTACAACTTCCTGTTGCAACGGTTATTATATGTATCTTTTTCACATTATAAAAAAATAAATATACATAACCCTCTTTTAATCTTCTATGGCTTTTTTTGTTACGCCGCATAACAGATAACAGACCTTTCAAATTTATTATTCGAAAATAATAAATGGCGATCAGTATAAGTAATTAATCCTAACTTTAACTGTGTTTGATTACTTTAAATTGATTCCATCTTTGAAATATTAAAAAATGGAACCTCTGGCTTCAATGTCGGAATGTACTTTTTTTTTTTCTTTCTTTTTTTTCGATTACGGTATGACTAATAATTTATTACGCTTCTAAACATTAGTTTCATTCGCTGATCTTTTTCTCCTTTTTTCATATCCTTTCCAGTACTTTGTTATCATATCTGCACCCTTTTCACCAATCATGATGACAGGAGCGTTGATGTTTCCACTCGTTATCTGAGGCATTATGGATGCATCTATCACTCTTAGCCCTTGTGTTCCGTAAACTCTTAGCGTAGGGTCAACGACAGCGTATGGATCCGTAATTGGCCCCATTTTGCACGAACCTGACATGTGATAAATGGTCATTGTGTACTGCCTCACGTAGCAGTCCCAATATTCATCAGTATACAGCGGATAATGCTTGCAGTTGGGTAAAGGTTTGCTGTGGTAGCGTGCACCAAACCTTTTCATCGCCTGGGTCTCTGCGAAGGCTAGGCTTGCCTTTACTCCTTCCCTCAGCACTCTCACATCGTCCGGATGCGTCAAATAATTATGGTATATTAGTGGATAGTGGTATGGATTTTTACTTCTGAGCCGGATGCTCCCCCTGCTCTTCGGTCGCAACATCATGGGGAATACGCCGAATAAATCATGATTGTTGATTTCTTTAAATACTTCGTTGTAGAAGGAATCTGTAAGGCAGTGGGCGCGGCGGACGTTGGTTCCTCCGTCGGATGGTGTGCTTGTCGATGTAAGCATGAACTCGATATCTGGCCAGTCGTCAGATTGATTTCCGTACTTGGTCGTGATGAACCCTACTGTCTCGATGCCTGAGCTGGATGTCAGAGGGCCGTCTCCAGAAATGGCGTAACGCAGCGCCGTGTTCAAGTTGACCACACGGTTCATAACCAAGCTTATCGGGTAGTCGATGAGAAAGGCGATCCCTCCAACGGCTATGTGGTCCATCACGTTTCCACCGACTCCAGGTAGATCCACGAGTGGCTGTATCCCGTGCTCCAACAAATGCTCGGCTGGCCCGATACCTGAAATGGCAGGAGGAATTTAGAAATATAATCAATTCCATTAAGAATTCTCAATTTCAATGTGTTTTTTATTGGTATGAAAAAAAAAATGAAATCCTTAACGTATTAATTACTTTTGTTGTTACGACGGATTGAACTGATTTTAAAACTAAAAAGGACTTTAATATGTGAAGGAGTTGGTGGGGGGGGGTGCGATCAAATAAATCCTAAATTATTAAAAAATAGTATTTTGAATTTATGCTCTCTTGTAAACCACTCAATTTTCATATAGAACCTTTTGCACTAACAGTAGTGAAATGATTATTTCAATTAATTCACCTTCAACATACTTGAAATTTTTTATTTGCTTGTAATAACATATTAAATTCATAATAATGTAGAGGTGGTTGACAGTGATATAATATGAGAAAAAGTTGGTCGGGAGGTGCGGTCAAATAAATACTAATTTAAAAAAAAATAGCATTTTGAATTGTTTTGCCCACCTTTCGATTATTTCAATTAATTCGCCTTCAACATACTTGAAATTTTTTATTTGCTTGTAATAACTTATTAAATTCATAATGATGTAGAGATGGTTGACAGTGATATAATATGAGAAAAAGTTGGTCGGGAGGTGCGGTCAAATAAATACTAATTTAAAACAAAATAGCATCTTGAATTGTTTTGTCCACCTTTCGACCAACCTTGCAGGTCTTCATCAGGGCTACAAAAGTTACAAAATATAAAGTATAAAAGGTACATGGTGAAAATAAAATAAATGAATTATAAGTAGATATTAAATAAGAAACTGTTGCCTGATAAAGAAATAATAAGATGACATCAAAGATATAGTGGGTGACAGTGTAGTTAAAATATCAAGTATTATTTCTATATGCATAGAAGATACAAAACAAAGATAGAAAATGAGTATAAATAAAAATATAAAACAAAGGAGAATAAAGCATGATAGTTAATAGTAAACTGATTGTGATAAAACATAAGAAATGAGTGTATAACAAACTGGTAAAGATTACATTTATTAACTGTAGATTAACAGATAAAGAAAGAATCTTAACACATCTATCCTTCAACTAGTTACCATATTATACTCTTCATATAGCCTACCATTCCACTGCTTTCAATAAACTGAATGTCAATTGTTATTGATATATATTACAACTTGTTTTCATCATCATAACCTTGTTTACATTTATACTTATTTCTAAATTTCTCTTCTAAAAGTTTTTTCTTATAGATTTATATATATTTAATAAATCTATCCTAACGATACTATAACTCATCGTTATCTGTTTACCTACATTTATCAAGTGTAACCTCCACTAGCTTGTTAGCCACTGATATCTTATTATTATGTTATCTTATTCTTATTTTAGCTTTACTAGATCATTACTTATTCATTTTTCAATTGCTTTATTCGTCAACACTCATATTCTTTATCTGTTAACCTACAGTTATCAAATGTAATCTTTACCAGTTTGTTATACACTCGTTTCTTATCTTTTATCACAGTCTGTTTACTTTTAACTTACTTGTTATATTCTCCTTTGTTTTCTATTTTTATTCCTTGATATTCTACCTACACTGTCGTCCACTACATCTCTGATGTTATCTTGTTATTTCTTTATCAGGCAACAGTTTCTTATTTAATATCTACTTATAATTCATTTATTTCATTTTCAACATGTACTTTTTATATTTTGTATCTTTTGTAGCCCTGCAAGGTGGGTCGAAAAGTCGGAGAAACAATTCAAAATACTATTTTTTAAAACATTTAGTATTTATTTGACCGCACCCCCCGACCAACTTTTTCTCATATTATATCGCGGTCAACCATCTCTACATAATTATGACTTTAATATGTTATTATAAGCAAATAAAAAATTTCAAGTATGTTGAAGGTGAATTAATTGAAAGAATCATGTCTCTACTATTAGTGCATAAGGTTATTTATGAAAATTGAATGTTTTACAAGAGAGCATAAAAACTGATTATTTCTTTATAATTTATTAGTATAATTTCATTTTAAATTCATATTTAATTTCATACTTTAACTAAGTAGCAGACTACTTATAGCAGTTACAGACTATAAAATGTCATCTTTAGAACAAATAGAATAAAAATGGACAGTTTTTACATACGACTTTTTACACTATGACTTACAAAAACCTAATTTTTAGCGTTGTCCAAATGCGAGACCGTGACGAGTCTTGCAAACTCAGTCTTGGTCATGGTCTTGGTCTTGCAAACTCAGTCTTGGTCATGGTCTTGATCTTGCGCAACAGTCCTGCAGATACTTATTAGCTTATTATTATAGAGATATTACTAATTTTTTAGATAGGAGAAACCTAACTAAGCTCGAATGAAAAATTATAGGAGTTAAATGCAAAAGTATATTGGTTTTACCAATTATTAACATATAGTAACTAAGATTGTCAAGTAGTAGTAACTATTTTGCCCTAATTGTTATTTAAAAAATCGATTTTGTTTACTAGTCCTGGTCTTGGTCTCGCAACAGTCTTGGTCTTGATCTTGCTAAGACCAAGACCGATTTTGGGCAACACTACTAATTTTGAGGAAATAAATTCTGATATGAACTAATATTTTATTTTACTAGTATTATACGGGTAGAATCCAATTATTTCAATAATTCTAAATCATTGACCGATTTTTTTTTTTTACCTGATAGCATGAGGAGTTGTGCAGAGTTTATCGTTCCACCCGATACGATTATCTCTTTCCTCGCCCTGACGACTCGGCGATGACCATCCTTTACAAACTCCACAGCTACAGCCCTATTCGTCTGAGGATCCATTATGATCTTGGTAGCGAATGCGTTGAGGGCCGTGTGAAAGTTGGACCTAAGGCGGAAAGGGTTTATGAACGCTTTGGCAGCGCTAGACCTCATTCCCCTCCGCATCGTGTACTGGAACAGTGCGAAGCCTGTCTGTTGCTCACCGTTAACGTCCACGATATCGTAGCCCATCTCTTCTCCTGCCTGAAGAAAGGCTAGACCTAAAAAAAGGAGCATCGTACCAATTTATTTTACATATCCACATGTCATGATTTCAAAGAGCTACTAAGTAATCTAAGCCTACTTTAGATGTCAATACTAGCTATAGAAAATCTAGAAATGGTTAATATAGAATGTATTATTTCATTATAACAATAGAACCTTTTGTTTGTGAGATATAATTCATACCTCATTATAAGCTTCCTATCGGGTTGGATTGGCTTAACCTCTTGATACTTTTTATATAAAAAAAAGTATTATTTATGATTATGTTGAATGTGCATTTTTAATGTTTACAAAATATCTTGTAGTTGACACAATTTTTTTTGTGCTGGCTGCTTAAAATTTATAGAACAGTCTGAAAAAACTACCTCTGGTCTCCCTACGAATAAACGTCTTGTCTTTTTCCACAACAACAAGAGTACCTTAAGGTGGCTTTGATGAAGGAACGGCAGAAAACTAGAGGCAAAAATTGTTCTGTGAGAAGGAGCAAGCCTAATTTTTCCGTCCTTTCTTTAATTCCTTTCAAAGTTAAATAAGGACAAATGTATAATAATTGGAAAATATACCTTTTTTTAAGAATATTAAAATTTTCGGAAGGGTAAAAAAAAGAAACAGTTCAAAGAGGAGAAAATGTATCTATTTATCAAGCTTTATCAGTAACTTATCTCAGAAAGGGATCTAGTTTAATATGTTATATAAAGAGTAAAATCGACAAAAACTAATACTTGCATACTAGTCTATTTTTAAGCATATACTGGATTTTATGTGAATAAATTAACTATTTACTAGTAATAGGTAATTTCTAGTAAGTAGGTAATTACTAGTAACAGTGACGTCACTAAGGAGTGTATAGAGAATTTATTTTTTAAATTGAATTATGACTTCAATACAAATAAAAAGTGAATGTAACCCCACTACAACGTTTTTAGTAAGAAATTTCCTCTAAGTGGATTCATTTAACTAATTGTTGTAATACAGATAAACTAAATAATTTATTAACTAACAATTTATTAACATGACTAGGCCAAAGAAAAAGACATGGAAGAATATGTTTTATTTAATTGGTTTGTTTTCGAGAGGGTCTGATTAAAAACAATTACAATAACAATAGTACTAATAGTAACACGATGAAATAATGCTTGTTCATAAGAATAATTTCAAATAATATTTTAAAGAATTTTTTTTATTTTTCGGGGGTGGCCTCAAAAATGTATCTCCTAATTATTAATTGATTTAAATGAAATTGTTGTGAAACAACTCTTTGTAGTCATAGTTTACTCAATTTTTCCTCATTTGACGACTTTCAAGAAATAAATTTGACAGGATCAGTGACGTGCAGAAATTTGGTTGATGTATAGTAAATAGATATAACTTAATATAATATTAATTACTTAATATTTTGTATATATTTGTCAGGAAGGGAGAATTAAAGTATATCCAGGCTGAAGTGGAAATATTTGATTGACAAAAAGGAAAATGTAAAAAAAAAAAAAAATGGTGGAAACGGTTAAACGGATAGAGTTGGGAGATGGGATGCCACGACATCTAGCGGACAATGCTAGCAACAGTGTAGTACTCCTAGTTTCCACTAGGTAACGTCATGTACACTAGGGTGAAACGAAAAATCCTTTTTTCGGCCGAAAACATTCTAATAGATATCAAAATTTAATTTTTTATCTGTAAAAAAACTGCACAAAATTTTGTTCTATATTTATATCTAGAGGTATCGCAAGAGGCTTATAAACAAAGTTTTTGTACAAAATCGTTTAATTTTTTCTCTACTTTAGATCTCGATTTTTTATTACCAAATATTGATTTTAAGAACTATCAATATACCCTTCTTTACTTCAACAACTATAGTATAAAGTTTAGGTGCTTTGAATCGATACCTAGATTTTTCGAAAAGAATTAAATATATTATAGGCTTTTACCTAAAAATCGGAATATTAATTCCGACTTTAATTATTCCAGAATGATTTCCTTGCATTCCAATTGTTTTTCAAACATAGTTTTAAAAGTAATAATATCCTTATCTATTTTAAAATGTTTCCATTTTACTAATATGTGAATGGGTAAGACTTATATATTTGATATATTTCCTAACAGACGCACAGTGGTCAAAACTTGAACACGTCGGCATTTCCTTTATATTAACTTTGACATAAGTGTCTGTAAAGAGGATTTAAGTACCTAATTGGACAAAAAAAGTTTTTAGGTATTTTTCCTAACTAATGAAAATTTCAAATTTTTTGAAGAAAATATTTAATTTTGAGAAGAAAATATTCTATTACTGCTTTGCGAAAGCCCCTTCTGAAGAAAGCTATAATGGAAAATAACTTTTTAAAAAACATGCAAATTCACGATATAAAAAATGCAGTATCTGCAGTACGGGTTATAGAATGTGACTTATGTCATTTTTTTGGGCAGGAAACAATATACAAAACCCACCTAATTTGGTTAGGTTCTAGTTCCATCAGGCCGAGATATCGACATTCAAAGTTTTGCATTCATTACTCAACATTTTAACATTACTCAAACTTTTAAATCTTCCACCTAAAAGCGGCAATAATGTTTACAGGATGTCACGCAAGTGGAGGAAAGCATTTAAAAGGTTGATATTAGACACCAAGATCTACAAAAAAGTTCATATAAACAATATTCCAATTTCCAGCAGGTAAGTAGGCCATTTAAGATTTGTGTTTTTTCAAGCGAGTCACTTCCTTTGTTTAATAGGAAAAAATATTTGGTTTAAGTACTAAACATTGCTCCATAGTAATCAAGACAAAATTTTCTTTAAAATAAAGTAGAGTTTGTCATCGTTCAAACTATTTAAAGAGGACTGTAGGGCGGGCAAACACAGCTATGTTCCGTTTAAAAAAAGTCATAAATTATTTGTGATTTTTTTTTGTCATCCTTTAACAGTACCACAGTTACCCCACTTTTACAAAAAACTTCTTCGTTTATTAAGAAAAATAATGATTATAAAATTGCGTTTTTCCCAATTTTGTTTCTCAATTTCTCAAGTTTCTAGCCCTGATATTTACGTCTTCATGAAAATAGTTGAAACAATCAGTAGGTTTCTTTATTTTTAACGTAAGTTTTAGTTAAAAACATTAAGTTTTTCACTGATAAGAACATATCGATTGCTATGACAGGGATCTGGAAGGAAACCGCAATTTCATGACCACTTAATGCAAAATATTTTAAAAAATCATAAATATGTTTTAAGGGATCGCTTCCTATTCAACAAAAAACATGACTCGCTTGAAAAACCACAGATCTTATATTTCTGAACTTTTTCTGAACTGGGCAATTTTTCTTATGAACTTTTTTGTAGATCTTAATGTCTAATATCAACCTTTTAAATAAGTCTCTCTACTTACGGGACATCCTGTATATTTGCTTGAATAATTGATTTCATATACATTCCTTATTATGTTTATTTATGTACACAACTTTTTGTAGAGTTTCAGAGCGTTAAATTTCATTAGTATCCCTAGAAGGCATTATCCATTATTTTAGTTTTCTTCATTAGTCTTATTATATCTAAAATAAATATCAATTAGTATTGCCTTCAGATATATTTAAAATCTCTAATGCTTCAGGAGTTAAGACATCCTTCAATTTTTTCTTCGTTGATATTTTTTTTTTGTAAACACATTAGTGTGTGTGTGTATATATATATATATATATATATATATATATATATATATATATATATATATATATATATACACACACACTAATGTGTTTACAAAAAAAAATATCAACGAAGAAAAAATTGAAGGATATATATATATATATATATATATATATATATATATATATATATATTTATATATATATATATATATATATATATATATATATATATTTATAATTTTAATAATTTATAGTTTCTTATTGCACATAATTTCATAATCCGTGGTCCAGGCCCATTTTAATCGACTCATTAATATCCGTCTAAAAGTTTGTGAATAGTTTCATTTTATCGTAACTTTTTTATTTATGAAAATTATTAGAAATGGGGCATTTTCAATTATGAAATCGGTAAACTTTGCCTATTTATTGAGGGAAGAAAGCGTCATGAACACCCGTCATGTTTTCACTTGAATGTTATGATAATTTGATCACAAAATCGAGGCAAAAAAATGACCTCTAGACATGTCAAAATGACGAGGTAATGTAGGCCAAATTGCCCAATAGGCCACCTTTTTTCTCCATTCTGGAATCAAATTATCTTATAATTGAAGGTGAAAGCAAGTGGGTATTTGTGAGTTTTTATTGTACCTCATTAAATCAATTAATATAATGAGAAAACGCCCCATTTTGTGGGATTTTTTTAAATGAAAATGTTGTAGGTTACCAAATGATAAACCATTTATAAAGTTTTAGACAGATGTTAATACTTTTAATACTTTATAAAAAGGTGTCAGTACAGAGGATCATGATGCTTGCTGGATGGAAAATTGATCTGAAAATGTATTATATTCTAATATAGGATGTTGTTCTATCAATAACAGTCAGTACTTCCCTTAGGGTGGAGCAACCAGGGCAATTGCCCGGCCGATTTTCGGGACCTCTCGCCATATGTAAGAAATAAAAATGTTACAAAACGTATTAATTTTAGTCAATAATAAAACAACTGTGTTAGAGAAATATTGAATGCAATAAAATTCAAATACTGCATAATTTAAAACAACTTCAAAAATAAATGTATTTTTCGAGGGGAGGGGGGGGGATTTTTTTTTGGGATACGTCATTGCCCTGGGGCGCCAAATGTCTAAGGCCGGCGTTGATAGCTTTATTTTGGTTATCTTATCAACGAGTCTATAGTAACTTACCAATAGGCGTGTTCCATGGACTATCCTGGATCGTGAGGAGCCCTCCTGTCGAATGGTACCTGTCGTTCTTGGCTAGGTATGGGTTCCTCTGATCTTCACTCTTCTTGAAGTACGGGAGTATGTCTTCGTACCCCCATCCAGGATTCCCCATCCTCTCCCAGTTGTCAAAGTCACGCCTGTTCCCTCTTATGTAAAGCATTGTGTTGAGGACGCTGCTTCCACCGATCACTTTGCCTATTAGTTACAAACGTTTTTAATCATAGGTAAATTTTATGAAGTAATGTAATAATGATGAATATAATTTAAATGAAATATATTATTGATAGATTCGACAGGTATAGTAACCAAAAATAAAATATTTTTATAAAGGAAGGAGATGGTCCGGGGTGGCGGTCATAAATAGGCTAAATAGTGGCAAAACTATTTTATTAAAAACCAACGTTTCGACCCGACTTTGCAGGTCTTCTTCAGGGCTAGAACGGACAAGATATAAAAATATATAGAGAATTGTAAAAGTTACATAATATTTAGACAAAGAATTATAAACAATTTGAATAAGCTTATTGAAATTATAAACTGTAAGTAGATTAAAATGTAAACAGAATATGCTAAATAACAAGATCCTAAACTTCAGTTTTAATGTACTTATAGTTTATAATTTCAATAAGCTTATTCACATTGTTTATAATTCTTTCTCTAAATATTATGTAACTTCCATAATTTTCTATATATTTTTGTATCTTGTCCGTTCTAGCCCAGAAGAAGACCTGCAAAGTCGGATCGAAACGTCGGTTTTTAATAAAATAGTTTTCCCACTATTTAGCCTATTTATGACCGCCACCCCGGACCACCTCCTTCCTTTATAATGCAACGGTCAACTATTAAATATTCAAAATATTTGTACTATTTATATACACTTTTAAAGAAGGTTCTTTCCACAGGAAGAACTGTAACCAATTTAGGAACTTGGAAGACTTAGATAACTAACTATAAGGGTCTTCAGAAAGGAATAGTTGTATTATGTCATACAATATCGCGATAATTTGAAAGGATTCAGCAACACATTAATGAAATAAATGACCACAACTCTCATTCCAGAGAATTTCAGAGGACTAAAAATGGTCTGGATGAGCTACTTACGTTGATAATTACGTAACTACATTAAAGCCCTGGGACTGGTGCGTAATGCCTATCAAGTTCTTTTTTTTTTTTTTTTCATTTCCCTTGCAAGCATAAAGATTACGTGTGCCCATCTGCTGAAAGTGTGTCCTGTTATTGACAGATGCAAATACGAAAGTAAAATTGAGAAAAAAATACCCTTATTCCCGTGTATCTTGCTTCTCAGGGATTTCGTAATCACTGAATCCAAATAAGAGGTCAGTAATATTTTTCTTATCAATTTTATTCTAACATTCTGTCACCTGAACAATAATTATAGTGATATAAAGCTACATTCATACTATATTCTTAAACATAAGTAAATTATTTTGTAAAAACACAATAAAACACAAACATACCTGTATACATTATATATACAAACAGGAAATTAGGCGAGGGAACTCCAATCCAGGCTTGTCCCTGTAACTATAGAGTCACTCCAGGAGTTCTCTGCGCTACTCTCTCAACCGTGTCACTGTTGCTAAGCCAGTGGAGATTGAGTGAGAGCGCTTAGGGCCACATAAACTTATGTCTTGAGTGGAGAATTCGGCCATTCCCATAATTTGGAGACCTATCTAGGGATGGGTGGTGCTAGATAGTGATTATGCAAGGGGATTTGGATGATACTTAAGGCTCTGATGAAGTTTGAAGACTTTTTCAGCCATAAGTTGTAGGGGTACATTTTGGAATTTGGAAGAATTACTATAACTATTCAAGGTTTTTGTGAATTTATTTTCTTCCTTTTATTTTATTTTTAATATTTGTATATATTATAATTTTTTTTTTTTGTATTATAACCCTTATTTTCTAGAATTTTGTGGATTCTTTATCTTTATCATCTGGGATATTTTTTCCTAATTTATCTTAAAATGGACATTTAAGTATGTCTTCATCTTTTTATTCATTTGTTCATATTTACTGGATATGTTTTTATATTAATACAGTTGTCAATATACTTAATAAAAAAAATTAAAAAAGTTTTATTACTAATCATACTTCCTATGATTTAGTCAAGTATTAGTTCTCACCTCTGGTCCAGCAACACCTTTTGTTAATCATTGCCTGACATGCCGAATCTTGAGGTTCCGTCTTATACTTCCAATCGTACCTGCTACCGTGGAGGTACAGACTGAGTACAGGAACATCGGTGAGGATCGACTCTTGTCCTCCTGCTTCTAAGAGCAGTACACTCCACTCCTTGTTTTCCGATAATCTGCTAGATACGACCGATCCGGCAGAACCACCACCGATGACGATGAAGTCGTACTCGTCTTGGATGTTCTTGGCATCTATCGGCTGGTTTTCGGGATCGTAGAGGTCGTAGTTGTAATAAGTGAGGGCGGCCAAGAATGTCGGTATGAACCATAGCTTGCTGAGCCCGAAGAGTCCAGAAGCGGCTCCTAGTGCCCCTGCCGTCAGCCCCATCTTTTGCTTATTTACGCATCAACCTCAGGATCGCGCCTGTTCTCTGGGCCGGTAGTCTCGCTCGTCCACTCTCAGCATAAGATTATCTACAAAGTAGAAAAATATAAATTAAAAAAAAGTTAATTAGGGTGAAGTGGGGTGAAGTGGGGTAAGTGCAACCATATAAGTATGGCCACTCTGGTTCTTGTCCTAAACAAATTATTATTTTTTTAGAAAAAAACACTTGGTTTGTAATTTCAGAACACTTTCTTTCAATGTCCGCCAAAGAGCCCGAGATAGTCCAGCTTATATATTCCGTAAGATGGGGTAACTTTGGGACAGCTGGCAAAATTTAGTTTGTGGTGATTCAGTGGTGGATACACTTTGTTCGTTCATTCTGCAAAAACGTGTATTCTGTAGTTATGAACTGCGCTACTACATTGTGGCAGTTTGAGAACCCTAGTTCACTACACTCGTTGAGCAGTCAAGATTTATTTATTTCCATAGATTTTTTTAAAATTCTTGTTTTCATGAAACTTTCGCTTGTCGCTGTCCAAGCGGACTGAACCAACACAGTGTATCCACCACGGAATCACCACAAACTAAGTTTTACTCGCTGTCCCAAAGTTACCCACCCAGTCCCTAAGTTACCCATCTTACGGTATCGTTTTTTAAATATTTTTTTGTATTTTTATAAAGTTACAATATTTTGGTAATAGGTTAATAATTTAAAAAATAGAGCCGTGGTTGCTGCTTGCTCCGTCATTTTTGCACACCGAGATTCGGGTAAGTGCAAACTTGCTCCATAGTAAATCTTTCTCAGTTTATCTAAATACAGTCAAGAAATCACATAAAAACCTTATTTTTAAATTTTTTCTATTTTTCCGATCATCCCCTCGTCGACTCCCGAAAAATTTCGTATCTCCCGAACGGTTTAAGATAAAAAAAATAAATTAACAAAACAGCAGAATGAGTGAAAAACAAGCCATAACACACTTGTCCTATTGTCATTTATATTGCCTCTTACAGAGGATCCTAGAGTGAGGTTATACTTACCTAGATGCAACCAGGGTAGATGCAACCAGTGGACATGGAAATTCTTAATTTTTTTTTTAAATTTGCAGAAAATGATAAAAATATTCTATTTACAGGATATTGTAGCCAGATAACCCTAAATGCTGCTAAGTTGTATTTCCATATTCCTAATAGTTATCTCACAGTAAAAGTTTAAAAATGAAAAAATAAAATAAACCTGGTTGCACTTACCCCACCTCACCCTACTACCAAAAATTAAATACAACGATTCATATATATATATATATATATAGTGACTTCATTTTTAAGGATTTGTGGACTTTTATAAAGGGAATACACATATTTACAGACTAAGCAGACAAAGTAAGAAAAAAAAAAAAGGAAGGAAATAAAAGTTAAATTTAAATTGCAGTTAGGAAGCGATTGTGGAGAGACTTTAGCTAAAGAGTGAGCTTTCTAATGATGTTTATTCTAAGGTTAAGAATCTCTTTTATGTTTTCCCCTCACTCTGCGGTTTGAAAGTTGTTCCGAATCGAAATCTTGTTTCCCGAAATGTGCCCGTGCGCCATGCACCCGCTGTTCTTTTTTTTAGGGGCCCAGAGGATTACCGAGTAAGAAATAATTGAGTTCGATATAATATAATATAGTATAATATAATATAGTTCGATATAATATAGAGGACAATATATATATATATATATATATATATATATATATATATATATATTATATATATATATATATATATATATATATATATATATATATATATATATATATATATATATATATATATTGTCCGTTTAATTAGATGTTTTACAACGAACAGACCCACTACTAGCGACCTTCTTTTTAACAAGAAACAACTTGAAATCCTAATACAAGACTAACGAGACAAGAAACCGCTTGTCGTATCGGACTACTCCAACTGCTTATTAACTCAAGAAAATCACTAAAATTCCAATTTATGGCAATAAGGTCATTTTCGTAACGATGTGTCCCACGTGTTTCTGATTTCTTTAGCAATGTATAATATTGTACAATGTATACATTAGAAACTCTATATTATATCGAACTCAATTATTTCTTACTCGGTAATCCTCTGGGCCCCTAAAAAAAAGAACAGCGGGTGCATGGCGCACGGGCACATTTCGGGAAACAAGATTTCGATTCGGAACAACTTTCAAACCGCAGAGTGAGGGGAAAACATAAAAGAGATTCTTAACCTTAGAATAAACATCATTAGAAAGCTCACTCTTTAGCTAAAGTCTCTCCACAATCGCTTCCTAACTGCAATTTAAATTTAACTTTTATTTCCTTCCTTTTTTTTTTTTTCTTACTTTGTCTGCTTAGTCTGTAAATATGTGTATTCCCTTTATAAAAGTCCACAAATCCTTAAAAATGAAGTCACTCAAAATTTTGATGACGTAACTTACGCCGTGGAGCCTCTTCTGTGGCATGCCTGCTATCATTTATATTTATCCATTTTGCTAATATTTATATTTATTTATTTTGAATTACTACCAATAACAATTATTTATAACAATTATAGAAACCATTATTTGTAATACACACAATTTAAGACATTTTAAAAATTCGACCTTTTATGTCTCTTCAATCTACTTCAGTGAGGTTAATACCTACATGATATGAAATACGATTTAATTTTAAGTTTAATCAAAATTGTTTGAGCCGTTCTTCGAAAATTGTGAAATATTATATTCCAAAAACATTCCACCATTTGAAGAGAATATTCGTTAAAATAAAATATCAAAGAAGGATTAATAATAACCATGATAATAAAATGAATTTAATTTATTCACTAAATCAATGTACGATCAATGTTCAGTTGTGCCATCATCTGACACACTCCATGCTCTAACTCCACCGGCTTTAGCACCGGTGAGGCGGTTGAGAGAGTAATGCGGGGATTTGGGTTCCCCGCCTGATTGTATATATTGTATATAGGTGTGACTGTTTTTATGTTTTTAATTTTACTTGTATTTAGGTTATTTTATTTTTTTTATTGTATATAGTTTTTATTTATTATTATTTAGTTATTATTTTACTTTTGTTAATTTTATTTTATGCTTTTGTATATACGATGTGAATTTATTCATTTATCAATATAATTATTGTCCCTGTGACAGAATATTATATGTCTAAATAAATAAAAAATAAATAAATTTATTCACAACTATACTATATTAATGGCATTGGCGCCGAATTATAAAAATTAATTGGGGAGTGAGGGAGGGGAGGAGAAACTATGGGATGAAGGGATGAGGGGGATGGGAGAGTGGGGATTTTCTTTGTGGGCGGGGTGGTCGAATGGGCTAACGCGTGTGCACAGCACTACCGTTGCCAGGCAACCTGATATATGACAAATGTTATAAAAATAGTCACGAGTTCGCGTCCCGGTGCCAAGACGTCTTTTAAATCCCTGGCCCGAGAAAACCCCGTATATCCTTAACGGCGAGGAAGGGGAGGAACTAAAAGAAAATATATATATATATATATATATATATATATATATATATATATATATATATATATATATATAATATATGCCTATATGAAAAATTACTATCTCAGGCAGATATGGCAATTGTTGACAGTTGTTTCAAGCCCTTCCGGGTGACAAAAAGTGTTGTCACTCATAATACTTGAAACTAAAACAATGTAGTATTTTTATAGATGATTCCTTTTACAGCTTAGTTGAGTTTATGAATCTGAAATTGGACACCGTTAAACAAATTCTACTATATCTGATATTAGGTAGATAAAGTCCTTTGTAATGGAATTGTAATGTACACGATCGATACGCTCATAAAGTTCATACTATAGCAATTTGTTAGGTGGGCTCCACGTGGAGTCCCCACCACGGCAGCATTAACGCGGCAGCCTATGATTAACTGTACAAACTAAAAAATAAAACGGTAACTCGGTAATATTGAAATTTTAAAAATTCTAGACGTCACTTATGCACACACACTTAACATTTCTTTATTTTTAAATATAATTAAATATTTTTTTCTTTTGTTTCAGGCCAATTTCTATTGATATGCAATTTGACTTTGATGTGGTTAATATTTAGTCCGTATTGCAAAGTGCAACGATAAATTTAATATTCGTAAGTCTTCATTCTCTCTAATACTTTTGTTGGTGTCAATTCGTCGTCCAAATATGTGGAAGTAATATTTGATATGTCTGTATTCTGTGCTATTTCTAACGGTGAAGGTCCGTGTAATGTTAAAACTGTTCTATATCCATTTTAGATTCCCTTTATATTTATTTGTTTGTGTCCTGTTTGCACTATTTGTTTGTTTAATGTGTCATTTTCAGTTTGTGTCCTCTTATAATTATAGTTTTATTGTTTAAATCTGTGTTAGGAGTAAGGTCGCTGTGTGTGTGTGTGTGTTTGTAAAGAGCATCAAAAGCAAAAAAGAAGATATCAAACTGAAATTATGTATTTATGGTAGATATTTTGAACTTCTTCCTTTAAATCGTTGATTTTACACATTTTTACTGTTTTATTGAAAACGGTTTTAACAGTTTCGACTAAACTCAATGGAAAATGAATTCGTATTAATATTTAAATAAAAATTCATAATTTTTTGGACCTTAGTTTATATATTATTGCAGGTTTTTTTTTTTTTTTTTCCTGTCATTCTCTAAAGCACTTTCTATAAATTCAATGTTCCGTTAGAAATCTAAACTGCAGCTTCTCTAACCCATAACATTAATTTTTATATTATGCATTTATAAGGAAGAAATTAAAAACCTAGTGAAGTAAACATTTTGAGCAAAGAATTCTTATTTTTCGATTGCTCTAAAAGTTCGTATTTAAGGGTCTTTCGAGATGCGAAATACGAATATCAACTTTGTTTTCTCTTAAAAGATATCCTACCTCAATTTGCTCCCGCGGCGGGTACACATTTTTTCAATATTGTATTCTTATTAAAAAAAAAATCACGACAACCAGACTCCACCGAGTTTTCATTCACCGAAACTTAGCAGAGATTTACTCTGCGAAAAAACACGAAATGGCACAGACCTTAAATCCGTAAAATACATAAAATCGTGTATACAAAATGAAAACGTTTGATGATTT